GAAAAAAACCATGTGAGCGTATTTTGTTTACAAAAGATAATCATATATATTGATTGAAAAAATAGATCATTACATCCTGAAATTTAACCAGGCAATACAATCAAAGAAACATGTATTCGGGTACAATGAGAGAGCCTTTCTAGCCACCAAACGAGCTACCATATTAAAACTCCGAGCTACAAATCGCACAAAAATCCCAACGTGAGTCGCCAAACAGCGCAAGACTTCCTCAAGGATGATCCCTACCTGATTATTACAGGCATTCGACTGGTTTATTTTGTTCACGATCACTTTGGAATTGCCTTCTAGCCTTTTCTCCGGGAATATGAAGGGTATGTTGGTAAAAAATGATGGACTTCAAAGTCCATAATCAATTCCCACCTAAATAGGTGGAACTTTCAAGTCCGTGGGGTCCACGGATTTGGTCATTTAAAGTTCGTGGGACCCACGGATTTGTTTCCCCTAAATGCATGAAGCAAACAATGGATTTTGGACAAAGTCCATGATGGATCCAAATCCATCACCAAATCCATCACCAATTCCATCAAGCAAACAAGCCCTTAAATCCAATCCATTTGATCCAAATCCAATTGGATTGGTGGATTCATGGATTGGATCCATGGATCATTGGCAAATTACGGTTTAGTACCTATAATTTTTATTTTTTACATTTTGGTACCTAAAATTTAATTTTTTATACGAAAAATATAATTGGAAAATTACGTTTTGGTACCTAAAATTTTTCATTGTGACATTTTAGTACCTAAACTTTTTACATTTTACATATTGGTCCTTGGTTGAGGATGTCATTTGGATTCATGGATAATCCACCAATCCACTTGATCCAATCCATGAATCCACCAATCCATTAGATCCAATCCATTTGATCCATGGATCTACCAATCCAATCCACCAATCCAATCCATTTGCCACCTCTACTACCTGATAATCTTGCCTGCCTAAAAACGCATCAGATTTGTTAACCTGCCGGTTCACCCGGTTGAGTTATTGTGTGAAAAGGTCAATCCAATTTGCAGAACTAAAAAGACATGTCGCTTCATTAACAAGCTTGACAAGCAGGCTGCATAATTCAAAGCATAGATCGAATCTATTTTAAGCACACTTGAGTTGTTGTGAGAAGACCATCAGACGAGCCAATACAAAACTCTGACATTCATAGATATTGTTATCATTTGAATATCTGATTATTTGTACCCAATTCATTATAAATTGTATCTTTCATTACAAGAGTTCTTCAATTGGTATCGGAGCTGGTTTATGGTGAGTTTGAGCCATAATGGATGCTTCATGATCCTCAATCAAAATGATGGGTTGCCTACCCCCAATCAAAACTGATAGAGGGGCAATCCACGGCTCGTCCGACTAAGTTTGATGGAAATAGCTATGCTTTCTAGAAAAGTTGTATGGAGGATTTCGTACAAGCGTATGACATGCTTGTATTAACGACTTCTTAGCAACAAGAGAAAAACTAGCGTTTCTCGCTTCATTTTTAGATTTTTCATTTGTTTGAGGGGTTGGCCTAACGAATGGTGTTTTGGTCAACCCAGCCAGTTTATTAGGGTTTGACCGCCTCCAGCGAACTCTCCACTAGGTTGTTGCCACCTGTTTGGAACATGTGATTCAAGCTGAAATGGTTCAACCGGTCTATTCACTTGCGGGTTGACGACCTTGTTAATATTTCATATTATTCAATTTAGCAGAGTTTGAAAATATTTTCAATCCAATTCCATAATTAATTATATACATTTGCGAGTAAGTGATATAGTGTTGAAGTCAATTCACGCTCTTCTATGGTTTTATGTAGCGTGATGGATACATAAGAAACAATTATCCTTTTTTAAGTTTTACGTAATCTCTTAATCGTTACGAAACACTTACGTAATAAGTTTGCATAATTGACACATACGAAATAGCTATTATTTCATAAGTTTTATGTCACGTATTTTTAGTTTATGCATGTATTTTTAAATAATGTAAATATTTCTTAATGTAGTATGGATTTTTAGGAAACAAAAAGTACATAGACAACTAAATATAGAAGAAAAGGGGTTTATGGTGAAATTAGGTGTAGGGGATAAAAAAAATCCTAGACAAGTAACTATGGGGAAAATGATAAATTTGGATATAGGGAAAAAACCATGTGAGCCGTATTTTTTTTTATAAAAGATAATCATATATATTGATTGAAAAAATAGATCATTACATCCTAGAATTTAACCAGACCATACAATCAAAGAAACAACACGTATTCGTGGTACAATAAGATGGTCTTTCTATCCACCAAATGGGCTACCATATTACTACTCCGACCTACAAATCGCACAAAAATCCCAATGTGAGTCGCCAAACAGCGCAAGACTTTCTCAAGGATGACCCCTACCTGATTATCACAGGCATTCGACTGGTTTATTTTGTTAATGATCACTTTGACATCGCCTTCCAGCCTTATCTCCGGTAAACCGTTCTCCCGACAACACAGGATAGCCTCACGGAGAACCAGGAGCTCGGCTGCCTTAGGATCATCAATCTCAGCGAACTGCACCCTTTTTGCCAAGAGGACCATTTCATCTTGGTTTTTGAGAATCATTCCTCCTGTTGAGATCCACACTTTGTCGCTCCATCGCACATGCAGATAACTGAAGTAGGGCCTCGCCACTCAACAAACTCGCTAGTGGGATGGATGGCCGCACTCCTCTGTTAATAGGCAAACTAACCCACTCTTGTTATTGTTGGTGGAATTGTCGCATCAACGCTGGGATCACAAATTGTTTGCCCTCAAAGACAACCCAATTACGGGACCGCAGATCCTCCAAAGGACCGCGACAATAGCCGTAAACGGTTGAGGTTGATGTATGAGTAACATTACTTTTTCATAAACAACGAGAAGGTGAGACAAGGAAGACTTTGTCCCAGATATCGAGACCAGAGTGATCCCAAAGAGCCCGAGCCACAAGGCAATCAAGGAATAGGTGTTCCAATGTTTCCGACTCTTCCCGGCAAACCGAACATCTGCGAAGCACCTGTACTTCCCTCTCAATGAGGGCTTCCGTCGTTGGTAGAATCCGGTGGAATACTTGCCCTAAAAACACCTTCAGTTTGGGAGGTATCTGGCCTTCCACATCCGGATCCAACTCCGCCTATCCATTCAACTAGTCGTGGGTCCCCACCAACCTACCTGCTTATCTAACAAGACCGCAAGATGCCATTGCCAGATAAGCCTATCCTCAATATCTCGATGAGAAAGAGGAATTGCTTTAATGGCACGACTAATATCCGGATTAAACCACCGGCTAAATTTGTTGTACACCAACTATCCTTCCTCCCTAACCATGTGATCCGCACACACTAGGGGGGAAAATGTTGATATATAATGGTCTACTTGATCCTGCTCTTGTTGAGTTAGTGTTGTCTCCAACTTGGCGTCCACAGTGTGCGGTTTGAGAGGGGATGCAAAGAAATGTATTGGTAAGATCATATCCAGTTCTCTATTTTGGTGACTAATTAAGATGACCCTCTCTTTATTTCAGGGAGTGATTTATGGTTTTGATTTTCACGATTGGCTCGTATTTGGTTTCTATATTACAAGTTATCTTTTGTTTTAGAAATCCGTGTTTTAGAGATTTCTTATTTGCTTTTGGACCATGATTATGTTGGATTGAATTGTCAATATCTTCGCTTTTAGAAGCATCTCCTTCACAACCTATAGTTGTCTCCCAGAAACCGCTCTCAAACCTTTCTTTGATTCTTTCTCTTGTTCAGGCTTTGGGGATGTAATTAATTAAAACATATTAAAAGTAATGAAGTGGGGGGTATTGGTCTATTGGATACTACTTTCATTTTCCTTGTTTTCCCCCACTTAAATAATTAATAACCATATGAGATTTACCCAAATATTTCTGCGTTTGATCAATTTTCTCTTGTATTTTTACTCATAAGACAGAGCTATCAATTTAGTGGTTTAACAAACTTTTTTATCGGTAATTCAACTATTTTGCTTTCAGTTATGTTTGTTTGTTTGTTTGTTTGGTGTTCTCTGACTATATATTTAGAACCACTATCTATGACTAAAAAACATGAAGTTGTACAATAACATTAAAGGTACAAGTTCAGTTAATTCCATAAACTTTTTCTTATGGAAATGTATAGGCACAAACTGAATTTATACCATAACACCGTCATTAATGATATAAGTTCAATTTGACCCATAAGAAGTCTGTTATAAATGTAAACACTTACCCGATAATATAAAAACATCGTAAAATTCATCACCTTATTTTACGTATTTTTGAATTTTTGTCTTGTTTTCCGGCTTTGATTACCCAATGCTATAAGATCCACAGACCAATTAACACCAAATGGGAACATTAATTATGAGATTACGACACAAATATTTCTGCATCTGACCTCATCCCTGTCTTTCTTTTTTTCTCCTCTCTCTCAAATTTGTAATTTTGCGAATGACCCTATTCCAAATTCGGCAACTCTGCTGTATTAAAATATACGCAGGGATAAGCAAATGAAAACAAGACGTCAATTAGCTAGAGACGACGACGCACTTGTGGTCGTCTCTCTCTCTCATCAATATTGGAGCAAAAAAAATAGACGTTAATGGGAAAAGCTGGGGAGATGGAAGGGAGAACCTTATTCTGTTCTTCTACAAAGATGGGAGGAGGAGAATGGACGAACAAACGTGAGAATCCAAATTCAGAGGTGGTCTTTTAAAGATGAACCATTTACTCTTTATTTTTTATTTTAATATTTGGGTTTTCACTTATTATTCCCTCTGAAAACGCTATATAAAGAGAAGGATTGGGAAGAGCAGTTCCCAAATCATCATCACAGCATTAAGCAGTGTGGGAAATTCATATACTCCTCATCAAAACCCTCTTTTCACCAGTCTCTCTCAGTTCTTCCTTTTTCTGTCCATATTGTCCTTATTTGTAAATTGATTGTTGCTTGAGAGCCTGGTTCAAACAAGGGGAGAAGAAGAAGAAGAAGAGAGTTTGAAGCCACTGAGATCACAGACAAAGGTAAGAGTTTTCAAGTCTTGGTTTATGATTTCTATGTTGCTCATTGTTTGGGTTTTGGTCGGGTAAACTGGAAGAGAAAATTTCTCGATTTTTAATGGGTTCTCTGAGAGTTCATTCGCTTCAATAAAAAGTCTTATTTATTGACTAGAAGCACCTCTATGGTTTCCTAGAAGTAGATATAAGTAGTTAGAAGAAGAAGAGAGTTGAAGCCTCGGAGGTAATGGAGAAGGTAAGAGTTTACAGGTCTTGTTATGTTTGGTCGAATAAACTGAAAGTGAGAATTTCGATTTTGATTGGTTTCTCTTAGTTCATTCGCTTAAGTAAAAACGTCTTGTCTGTTGACGAGAAGCACACTAAGATTTATTAGAAGTAGATTTTAGTGGTTACTAAGATAAAAAAAAAATCCTACCTTCTCCGTGCAATAAGATCGTCCGAAAGCGTCCAATAAAAATTGTCTAAGTTTACGGCTTGACTCGTTTAAAGGGGTTGTACTTTGTAGGCTATAGTAGGTACGCCTACAAAGAAAGTAGTTGTTCTAGAGGGAAGAAGAAATCGAATCTCCTTAAATAGATTGATTAAAAAAATTGGGTTAGGGATAGTTAAAATATGTTAAAGGGTATATGATTATGATGATCAGGTGTGTCATAAAAATGGGTTTATTCAATTATTTTACTATTACCAACCTTTACCTACTAATTAATTAAAAACCAAAAGATTAAGCTTGAAATCAATGGATTGGAGTCTCCATATTTCATGCACAGGAGTCGTTTAGTGGGGGCCGGGAAAGAGTGGAAAAGGCAAACTGAAGGAGTCTCCAAAATTCAACATTACTTGTCAAACTTACTTTTGGATTACACCCTCTCATTATTCTTTTCCCCAAACTTTCACAACATCAACCAGAAAAGTCCCCCAAAACAATACCTGTTTTCTTCTAGGGATTTTCTCAATCATCACTTCTTTGAATTTAACCCTATTTAGGAAGAGAGACCAAATAAGAAAAGTGGAGAAAGAACAGCCCTTTATAAAAATCTGTAAATGTATTTGTTCAACTTGATCTTTTCTACCTTCCTTTGAACAGTTAAAATTTCGGTTGGTTACACAACAAATGCACGGCTTAAAAACTCAATTTGAGAATCAAGCTTAGTTTTGCAAAAGATTATGTCAAAAATATAGTAAAATCACAAAAAATTCTATTCAGATTATCTTCGTATTTGAGTTTACACCGTTTTCGTTCATGTAAGATTAGTTATGTGCGAATACGAATTTGACCTGATGATACTATCAATGATTTTTAACCTAAATGTATCGGACTGAACCATTTAAATAACATCTAATAATAAACACAAACATATATATAAAAAAAATTATTCAATTATATACCATTCTCCCAAATACACTCAACCAAGCTAGCAGGTAGCAGAAAGCTACCTTTTAAATAAGCTGATGCCTAAACCTAGCTGCCTCCGCTGGATTCTTCCACTGAACCCAAAAACCCAAACCAAAAAAACAGGGGAGGAAAAATGAAAGAAAGAGGGAAGAAGCTTCTAGTTTCCCATCTCAGGCACTGAAAGAAACTTACAAAAACAGAGTAAGCCAGTCTATCACTATGGCTAACCGTGGTGGTACCGTGGTAGTGGGATGGTGGGATCCTCATCCTCCCTTCCGGCCAAAAAAAGAGATGGCGAAGATTCAATGGCGCTCGCCGTTGACAAATACTTTCTCTCTGGCCCTCTTTTCTTTTGCCCTTTCACTTCACTTCCCCTCTCTCCGCCGCCTACCTCCTTAAAGTCCCCACGTGCCTTTCCCACTCCACTACTTCCTTCTTCCTATATAAACCCTTTCTTCCTTCTCTTCCCACTCATCATCATCTCTCACTTCTCCTTCCTTCCTTCCATTTCCCCTGTCTGTCACACTCTGTTTTTTTCACTCTCTGCAACTCACTCTGTTTTCCTATTGCTCTGTTTTTTCCTGGAAAAAAAAAATCAAAAGATGGTTGAGAGCGGCAATGGAAATGGAAACGGGAACGGGAACGGGAACGGGGAGCTTCCCTACCACCGTAACAACCACCACGCCCTCGACGTCACCACGGACGCGCCTTCCATTATGGCCTCCAAGTGCTTCGACGACGACGGCCGCCCGAAACGAACTGGTACTGCTGCTACTCCCCCCAAGCCGAAAGCTTTTCCTTACCCAAGTTGGGTAATTTTGGTTCATTTAAATTGAAACTTGGTTTTTGCCCCGGTTTCCAGGAACCGTTTGGACTGCGAGTGCTCACATCATAACGGCGGTCATCGGTTCTGGAGTTCTGTCACTGGCTTGGTCCACCGCTCAGCTGGGTTGGATCGCCGGTCCGACCGTCCTCTTCCTCTTCTCCTTCGTCACTTACTACACCTCCACCCTCCTCGCCGCCTGCTACCGCGCCGGCGACCCGGACACCGGCAAGAGGAACTACACTTACATGGACGCCGTCAAATCTACCCTCGGTATATAATTCATCCACCAACTCTAAAATCTAATTGGGTTGATTTCATCAATTCCGTTGATTTCACCGGCTGACATGAGAATTTGGATGGTCAGGTGGTTACCAAGAGAAGATCTGCGGGTGGGTTCAATACGTCAATCTCTTCGGAGTAGCCATCGGCTACACAATCGCTTCTTCCATTAGCATGATGTGAGTTTTCCTTTTCCCTATACTCTGTTTTTTTTCTGGGTCCCCTGTTTCTGAAATTCTGACTAATTGGGTTGATTTTTGGGTTTAAACAGGGCGGTGAAGAGGGCGAATTGCTTCCACAGAAGCGGCGGAACTGATCCTTGCCACATGAACGCCAACCCTTACATGATTGCCTTCGGAGTGATCCAAATCCTCTTCTCCCAGATCCCCGATTTCGACCAGCTCTGGTGGCTCTCCTTCGTCGCCGCCGTCATGTCATTCACTTACTCCACCATCGGGCTCGGCCTCGGCATCGGCAAGGTCATCGAGAACAAGGAAATCAAGGGAAGCCTCACCGGAATCGGAATCGACGTCGTCTCGCCCACCGATAAGGTCTGGCGTAGCTTCCAAGCCCTCGGCGGCATCGCCTTCGCCTACTCCTTCTCCAACATCCTCATCGAAATCCAGGTATTGCATAACACTAACAACAATTTCCCCTGTTTTTTTTTTTAACTTCCCCTGTTCTTCATTTCCCCTGTTTTATTAACTTCCCCTGTTCTTAATTTCCTCTGTTTCAGGACACGATCAAAGCCCCGCCGTCGGAAGCGAAGACGATGAAGAAAGCATCCCTGGTCAGCATCTTTGTAACCACCATCTTCTACATGCTCTGCGGCTGCTTCGGCTACGCGGCCTTCGGCGACCAGTCCCCGGGGAACCTCCTCACCGGATTCGGCTTCTACAACCCGTACTGGCTCCTCGACATCGCCAACGTCGCCATCGTCGTCCACCTCGTCGGAGCTTACCAGGTCTACTGCCAGCCCATCTACGCATTCGTCGAGAAGCTCGCCGCCAGCAGGTTCCCGGACAGCTACTTCGTCACCAAGGAGTTCAGAATCCCGCTCCCCGGCGGATCCAGCTACAACCTCAACTTGTTCAGGCTGGTGTGGAGGACGATCTTCGTCATCATCACCACCCTCATCTCCATGCTGCTCCCGTTCTTCAACGACATCGTGGGCCTGCTGGGCTCGCTCGGGTTCTGGCCGTTGACCGTTTACTACCCGGTGGAGATGTACATTGCGCAGATGAAGATCCCCAAGTGGAGCACCAGATGGGTCAGCCTTCAGATCCTGAGCATGGCGTGTCTCATCATCTCGATCGCCGCCGCGGCCGGGTCGATCGCCGGGATGATCGTCGATCTCAAGAGCGTGAAGCCGTTCCACATGAATTATTAAACGATCGGCGGTCAAGTATCAAAATTTACAGACAGACGGACAGGGTAAAAGAAGGAAAAATGTCACACCCACCATCCCTTTCCCTCCCTAGCTCTTGGTCATGTTCATAACAAACAAAGGTCCAACCAAAGTCTCTGTCTTTTTTTCTTTTTTCATGTAATATTTACTATTATTATGATTAGGTTGTTAAGTGTATTTTAATTGGTCTTTCATAAGAAAAGGAAAGAAAGGACAAAGAAAGAAGGAAGGAAAAGCAACATGTGTCCTCTCTTTGGCTGTATCTGTGATTCAGAAATCTTCCAAACTGTTAGCCATGAGTGATGTTACTCTACTGACCTCTCTTTTCAATGCAAATTGGGATCATTTAAGAGGTGATCTCAATGAATGTTTGTATGCATATGACAAAAGCTGTGTTGACAGTCAATAATTTAAATGTTTTTTTATTATTTCTGAGTGATATTAATGGAGGAAAATAGTTAAACTTACAATTCTACCCAGAATCCCTAAAAGACTCTAAAGAAGCCACCCAAAAAATCAAAAGATTCTACCTCTAAACGAGACAAAAGCAGTGTTTTACGCGCCACTCTATGGGCAGCACTGTTGGCGGATCTAGGTACCGCCCTAAACTCTATACAAACAGACAAAGAGCTAAGGATCTGATGACACTCTCGTAACACCGGACCACCAATTGAGTCTTCTATGACGCCTTGACGAACTTGTTTGACGACCACTTCGGAATCACCTTTATTGTGTTAAGAAGAACCATAGTATAGATTATCATTTGTATAGCATTATTTAGATAATAATTTATGCATTTTTTAATCCAAACATATTATTTAGATTATCCAAACATATTAAGAAGAAAAATAGTATAGAATTGTGTATAACTATGGATTATGCGTCAAACTAAACAAATTTCTTTCCACATTTTAGCTTTCACTATCTCAAATTTCTATCTACTGTGGGAATGGAGGTTTTTAACGTATTGAGTGTTGATAGAAAGTAACTATTCGCTGTCAATTATGTAACCTCAATTATTTATTCAAGTTGCTACAAACATCTCATCAAATGTGTTTTGTTTTTTTTCCTCCATCCAAATCATTCATCGTTATCTTTAGAAATTACAAACCCAACAAACCGTCGGGAATCAACAAAGTTTGTATAGATATATTATTAAGTTATTTTGATTAGTGAGTATTCTAATACGAGACATTTTAATTAAATGCGTTGATATCATTTTAAAAAATCAATTCTTATCAAGCACTCTAACGTCATAGAAATTACATAAATAACAATCTTATATCATTGTCTCCTAGCAACTTGGATGAAGAGTGTTGAAGGGTGGAACTGTGCATTATGGGGGTTTCTCAACTACCTTGAACTTCAACATGATGATGACGATCGATCGACAGAAGGAAGAAGGCTAAAGATCGTTAAAATGATAATTGATACTATCGAAATGCAAACTATCAAATTATTTGTTCAGATTGGAAGCATTAAACTATTGAAGTCGACAATACTATTAACTATTTTCTTTAAATTAGGAATACAATCAAAGAAACTCAGGTTGTTAGACATGCATTGATTGAAGGTCGCATTGTATGGGCTTATACAAATTAGGAATATAATAATAAGTTGCTTTTCTGAATTGAAGTCCTTGGGTTTGGGCTTGGACTGACCACCCCAATAATTGGCGGCGAGTCAAATTATGTGCATGCATTCACACCTATTCGCAGAGATTCTAAGTGTGTAAAGAGATTCTTTTATAATTTGCATAATCCACGCGGCGGTTCGTGGGAGAGTGTTTTGGCGGAAGATTCTTTGTTTAACATTAATTTTTCTGCGTTTTGTGATGACGCAACAGATTGCTGACAATATTTTCAACTGTGTACGTATGGGAGATTGACTGACAAATATGTAATTGCAGTACATTATGATTGTTGTTAACATGATCATTGTTGGCATGCTAATGTGCAGGCGCAGACTCATGGAGATTAGGGTAAGATAGCGTGCCTAATCTCTTGCATTTTGGTTAACCGCAATCGAACGAGGACAAAATCACCAACCGTAACTGCGCCGTAAATGGTTTGCGATTAACCACTAAACGCAAATTGCGGTTGCGATTAGTTGCGGTTAACCGAGATAGTCGAAGATGATGGAAACAAAAAAAAATGGTTTTGGTGAAGATGTTCTCGACCTTCAAGATGGAAAAACATAGTGGATTGGATTGGATTCACGTTGAAAGAGGGTTGGTGGTGGTTGGCCCATCGACATGAAGCATTGCTTATTGGGTCGGCCAAATATTCTATAGTTTATGCAATAATGCAGTTAGGTATACGGTTAGTTTGTTATTCGGTGCGGTTTGCGATTAGTCTACTAACCGCGCTTATTCAGTACAGTTTCAGTTTAACCACAACCGTTCCTCCACCCCTACTCCCCCTCCTTTTTTTAAGTAACGAGCTTTATTTGCATCATTGATACAATCAAAAGGGCAACATACAAGACAAGGTGCAACTCAAAACATAGACTGCAACACAAATGATCCGACGTAGTGATTGTGGGTTAAATTAACTGGTCCAAAGACTAGGATCGCATTTCCCTAGAGTCTCCCGCAACTACTTCTTCAGGTGGTGGTGGAGTTTTATTGTTTAGAAAATGCGACTGTAACGGTTGAGGTGCTTTCGGAATTAAAATCCCCATTGGTTGCAACACACTTCTTCTTGTTAATCCTTAGGGTCAATTATCTTCTCCACGTAAAGCGTTTAGGTACTCCTTGGCGATATTTTTTAATCCTCTTTGTAAAGGCCAATTGTGTTAGGAATTTAAGTTGCTAACTTAAGTGGGCTTGCAAATTCACAACACATATATTAGTTGTTTGGTTTTGATGGTTCTAGATCATCCTTAGATTCCGCTATAAGTTCTTAACGATCAATCAACACAATTCCAGGTATCATAAAATAACCTCTGTTAATCTAGTGTTATGATGATCCAGTGAATAGCTTAAATATATTTTGCTTATATTCTACAAGTGTTATCTAGAAATTGCTTGTGCAAATTCTGTTATATTTAACAAATTGTGCTGCAAAACTGAGTCACACTCATCGAACAAGGCAAACCTTAAAATCCTAACACAATATGGGTCTAATGGGTGGAAACCCAATACTTGTCCACTTGGGTTTTATGGGAGCCATGGTGGAACTTGTATATAAATGAGTTGAGGTTGTGGTCCCCAATACACCAAGGCCGGAACACTCTCATCTTCTCCCCATCAAGAAGTTAGAGGTCTCACGATTAGGACCTACGGTGGCTTGGTTGAGGAATGCCTCGGAACCTCCCAGATCGTGCTTCAGAGGTATCGTCCGGTTCTAGATCGTCCTTAGATTCCGCTATAAGTTCTTGACGATCAATCAACACAATACCTGATAAAGCACCAGGGGGTGCTTTTGATCAGAATACGCAGCTCACACACACAATCGAACAATAGATGATGGATAGGTAGAATTCTCGTCACAATCGAGGTGATTAATCGATTGATAAGAGAACTTGCTAAACGATTCTGGAATCCACTCAGAATAGCTTCACAAGGGTCTTGTAATTAGCTAAGGAATCCACTCGTACCTAATGACAATGGGTAAACTCTCGAGACCCAACTCAAGAACTCCAAACACTCGGTTTGTATTCAATTCAATCAACTCTTAGTTTTACAACGTAAAATAAAGCTTTAAATAACCCTAAGCTACGTCTAACAACTAAAAAGGAAGTCTAAATACAATCTAACTCGAAAAGGAATCAAATCTAACAATCATAGTTGAATAAGGAAAGAAAATCCTGTTTTACAAAGGCAGAAATTCTGTGATTTCGTACTAACTTCGCGCCTTTTGTTCAAGGCCTTCCAGAGCTCCAATTCTTCATCCAATTCCTTCCCTTTGTTCAAAAACATACCTAGTTTCATGTTGAGGAAGCCTTTTGACTTTAATCCCATCCATGCTCCTTGAATTGAGCTCCAAAGTAGGCTTCACAAAACAGTTTTCTGCCTTAGTCATTTTCTGGCAGTTTTCCAGTTTTGAGGTAGCAACTTTGAGGCCTTGGAAAACAACCTTAATGACATCTTATGGATCTAAAAAGCATACCATTGGAAACATGGAAACTTTATCTGCAAAAAAAACTCTTGAACTCCAATTTCCATTGAGCCATTTGTGAGATACAAGCTTCCAAAGTAGGCTACCTGGAACTGTTTCAACACTTAGCCAAAAATCAGAATTCTTCAAGTGAGTTGAGATGACTTCTTTGGCAAGCAATTGTGAATAGTGGATTGATCCAATTGGGATCATATCAATACCAGGTATCATCAAATAACCTTTGTTAATCTAGTGTTATGATGATCCAGTGAATAGCTTAAATATATTTTACTTATATTCTACAAGTGTTATCTAGAAATTGCTTGTGCAAAATTCTGTTATATTTAACAAATTGTGCTGCAAAACTGAGTCATCCCTCGAACAAGGCATCCCTCGGTTGTAAGACAAAAGGTAACAGTGTTGGGCTTAGCAAAGGCGCTGCAACCAATGGCAGAGCCACACAGAGCCAAGAAAGGTCCTTTGAACCGGGCCAAGATCAGGTGAGTAGGGGGGGTCCCTTAGTCACATGACTAAGTGAATCTTAGTCCTTCAAACTCATTAAAATCTAATGGCTTAGATTAATCTAATTTAATATCCCACCAAGTGCAACGAGAGAGAGAGAGAGAGATCACCGCCGGCCAAATAAAAGTGTCCGTAGGCCAAAAAAAATTCCCTGGCCACAATTTTTTGAGTCACAGGTCACCATTTTTGGTGTGGTAGAGAGAGAGAGAGAGTTTTCCGACGACCGGAGGGAATTTCCCAACGACAGTGTTGAATTTTGTGATGTTTGCTGACCTATTTTATAATGTTTGTATAGATTTGTTTTGTAATGTTTGTCGTTTTTAGTGACATTTTGTACGGTTAGTATGCTTTGTATTGTTTGTCGGTTTATTTTGTAATGTTTGTACACTTTGTTATTTTGTAATGTTTGTCGTTTTTTTTGTAATGTTTGTAAACTTTGTTATTTTTGTGCACCATGTTTATCATTTTTGTCAACCATGTTTGTAATGTTTTTTATGTCTAAAAAACAACTTGGTTGACTTTTGGATGGAACTCCTCTATATAGGGATGGAGCCTCCAAAGTCAACCGGGTGTTTTTTCCAGTTCGTATGGATTGTCGGTCTAGTTTGTTATTTTTGTCCACCATGTTCGTAATGTTTGTATGTCTAAAAAACAACCGGGTTGACTTTGAGACGGAGCCCTCTATATAGGGATGAAGCCTCCAAAGTCAACCCGGGTGTTTTTCTAGTTTGTATGAATTTTTGGTCTAGTTTGTCATTTTTGTCCACCATGTTTGTATGTCTAAAAAACACCCGGGTTGACTTTGGGAAGGAGCCCCTCTATATAGGGATGGAGCCTCCAAAGTCAACCTGGT